ATATATATATATACATATATACACACATATGTACATATACACACATATATGCATACATATATATATAAAAATACATATACACATATCTTTTTATAAAAAAAAAAAAAAAAATAAAAATAAAAAAAAAAATAAAAATAAAAAAAAAAATAAAAATAAAAAAAAAAATATAAATATAAATAAAAAAATACATATACACATACTCATACACATACACATATAGATACATGTATAAATATATAAATATATAGATATATATAAACATACATGTATGTATATATACGTATATATGTATACATACTCGTATAACTTCGTATAATGTATGCTATACGAAGTTATTACGTACACATACACATAGACAGACACATACACGTACAGATACACGCGTAATAACTTCGTATAGCATACATTATACGAAGTTATACGATACACATTCATATACATATACATCGTAATAACTTCGTATAGCATACATTATACGAAGTTATACGAATATATATATATATATAATGTTTATGCGATGAATGTTTACATAATAAAAGCACTGCAATAATGATTTGTTTATAGTACAGGAACATTACATTCACTGTTTATTTCTGTTCCTTAAAACTTATGTATGTATGTGTGTATATATACACACACACACATACATAAGTTTTAAGGAACAGAAATAAACAGTGAATGTAATGTTACTGTACTATAAACAAATCATTATTGCAGTGCTTTTATTATGTAAACATTCATCGCATAAACATTATATATATATATATGCAAATAAATGCATACATATACATATGCCTGTACATATACATCCATGTATGTTTACATGTATACATACATGTATGTATATATGTAAACATACATGTATGTATATATGTAAACATACATGTATGTATATGTACATGCATATGTATATGTATGCATTTATTTGCATATATATATATCTATATCTATCTACCTATCTACCTATCTACCTATCTACCTATCTACCTATCTACCTATCTACCTATCTATCTATCTATCTATCTATCTATATATCTATATATCTATATATCTCGTAATAACTTCGTATAGCATACATTATACGAAGTTATACGAATATATATATATATAATGTTTATGCGATGAATGTTTACATAATAAAAGCACTGCAATAATGATTTGTTTATAGTACAGGAACATTACATTCACTGTTTATTTCTGTTCCTTAAAACTTATGTATGTATGTGTGTATATATGTATATGTGTGTGTGTGTATATATACACACATGTATACATACATGTATGTATATGTACATGCATATGTATATGTATGTATGCATGTGTGTATATATACACACATACATACATAAGTTTTAAGGAACAGAAATAAACAGTGAATGTAATGTTACTGTACTATAAACAAATCATTATTGCAGTGCTTTTATTATGTAAACATAAACATTCATCGCATAAACATTATATATATATATATATATATATATATATATATATATATATATATATATATATATATATATATGCATATATCGGATGCATGAGAAAAAATAAAATTGTATAATCAGCAATTAACATCAGCATAGCGTGATAACAAGATCGAAAAGTAATCCATCATTGACCTAGAAAAAAAAGACAAGGTGAAAATAATGAAAATAAGGAAGATAATAAAACCGGCATCAAGCAATACGCAAGGCCCCGTGCGCATCCCGCTTCGATTTTGTCACCAGCTGATCCTTGTTTACATCAGTGCGGGTCTCAACGCAGACCCCGAAGGCACATTCACAGACCGGCTTGGGAAACACGACTGTTTTCGTGAAGTGAGGAGGGAATACATTCATCTCGGTATTAAAATTCAACAGACAAAAGCGCCAAGATGCCGTTCATGAAAGGAAAAGCTCCCATACGGCGTACGCTGAAGTATCTAGAGTCGTCACGCCTCGTCCTCAAGGAGCGAGTCAAGGTGCAGTATATAATAAAAGTGGTGAATGAAATGGGATAGAGTGTGAATATACACGAATGTGTCTTATTCTCTTACAACATTACCTTGGTTCCCTGACCCTCTGCCTGCGTGGAATGGTGCTAAATCATTACATTCGTTCTAGTTGTTGTTCAGTAACTAGTGTTGTTAGAATTAGGTTCAGATCAAATTATATATAGTTAATAATGTGATCTGTACTTTTAGAATTATAATTATATATTTGTCGAGTTCAGATATTATTCTAAAAGTAATTATATATAGATTATAAAATCTTCCTTATGAAAGTGATTTCTCTTGATATTGGGACTGCATCCTTGCAACTGTCTCTCAATCACTATGGCGGCCATACAAGCAGTGCACACACAAAGACCAACAAACTTTCAACATGTCCTGTATATTCTTGCAAGATAAAGAGATTGCTTGGGCAGTTACCTTCTTTGAAGAGGAACTGCCAGGCAAGTCTACAAGCTATTTCGTACCAACAGATATGTTAAGGTTTGCTGTCTTTGCGAGAGCATGGATGGTGCAAACTGTGGCAACCACTTGTTACGGCAGATGTTTCTTCCATAAGTGATTGTTGACTTGTTTTTTAGTAAATTATGTTCCATGGCTAATAGTTAGATTGCAAGTATAGTTTATTGTTAGTATATGAGCAGTCCATATTTATAGATTTACCAATTAATATATAATAATAATTAATTTTCTTATTATTGTAGTCATAACATATTGACATTGAAATCGTATCTTTCCTATTGCCAAAGTTATAAATTAAGTGAGACAAGTTCTTGATTTATAGCATAGACTTCTATGCATTTCCCTTACTATTATTATTATTACCATGATAATTAAATTTTTATTATTATTAGTTATTATTATTGTTATTATTATTATTATTAACATTATTAACATTATCATCATTACTATTACTGTTATTATAACTTAATGATTATTATTATCACCATCACCACACTAACTGAATATTTCTACAGGTAGTAACTGTGAACTACAATACACATGGTAACCATCACCAAGGTGCACGAGAATTTGTCTTCTGGCACCTCCCACAGCTACAGTACAAGAATCCACAAGTTCAGGTATTTTCTCATAGTAAATCACTTGATTTTTAATGAAGATGCAAGTAATTAAAAAGTGGGGTTGGGTAGAAATTTCTGTTTTACAGTGAAATATTAGATTCCATCTCATGATTTGCTTTAATTTTTTTCCAGGTTGCCACATTCAAAAACTTGACGCCCACACCTTTTGTCCGTATTTTTCTTGAAAATGGAGAGGACATTCTGGTTGACGTAGATTCTAAATCTCGTTCAGAAATCCATGATCATTTAAAGACAATTATCTGCAAGTCAGAGAGCACATTGCAAAAGGAAGCCAGAGAACTCATGATTAACCCAGCTAACTTTGGCTGGGGATGTGATCGTCAGTGCATATGTGAGATCCCAGGCCAAGTGCCTTGCCCTGGCATTATCCCTTTGCCCAATCACATGCGAGGAAAATACAAGTTCGGAGAAAAATTTGACTAGTAGCGTATTTACATGTATGTATATTCTGTAAATGGTGGAAAATTATTATTGTGCAGCAAGGTTAGGCATTGTAGTTATTTCATCTCTAATCTTCTGAATTTTGTTGTTTTGTATAAAATAAATACAAATATATCCAATATGTTTTTTTATTTCCCCAAAACATCACGGAGATATTTACCATTACACAATTTAAAACCTATTGTGACTAAAATGGCACACTGAAGAGAGAGTAAGCTTCACATAAGATATGTTTTTTTTTTCCCCTGGAAAGTGCTTGTATTTTTTGGAATTACTGTTGTGCAAATTCACCCCATTAGTTAATAAATGTTGGCAGTAATATACAAAAAAAAAAACATGATAATGTTATAATTGAAACCTTACACACTGGAGTTGCAATGAATAAAGAAAGGAAAAGTCAAACTTTCTATATAACTTTAATCATGATGACATAAATCTATCTGCCTATATCTAAATATTCTATATATTTGTCTGTCTGTCTGTCTAAATCTGTTTATTTATTTATCTATATATATATATATATATATACAAACACAACCCCCCCCCCCCACACACACACACACACATGTATATATGTGTACAATAGTTCCTCATGGAAAGAAATGAAGGACTAGCTATCCTCATCTACACTTTACCAATTTTAAACAACGTAAATATGTAATGAAAGCAAACGGTGAAGCAGAATTATACAAATCATTAACATGCACATTTAATCAAGAAAGACTTCACTTACTTTAATCCACTTCTGAAGTCAAGATGCATAATGTTAAAGCTAAAGCTTGTATATCCATATACCACTTTTTTATGATTGTCCTATCAAACTCTAGGTTGTAAACCTCCCCCACCCCCTCCAATAAATAGCCATAAACACTTATCTCAAATTAATTACTGATAGCAATAAAATTGTATGAGACTCATATTCCATGAACCTATTTATTTAATTTTTTTTTCACTATAGTGTTTTTTTTTTTTTTTAATTATCAGAATTAAATCTCTTGGCCTGTATGACCTTTTTGAACAGCCTTTCCATGTAAAAGTTTAAAGCTTTTTCATATTCTCATTTTAAAAAAGCTGTTTCTGGTTTATTGCATTTTTTAAACATTTTTTAAAGTCATTTAATTAACTTGATGCTTACTTTTCATTTGTCAGTTGCTTACTTTCCACTCTCACAGTGCATGACCATTCTTAAACCATTGTTGCCTTTTCTTTTTGCCAATGTCTGTTCCTCTCCCATCTCTTCCCTTAGAATTTGATCTTTATCTCCCTTCAAATCTGCCAAAATACATACACTAACTCTAATGCCTTTCTGCCTAGGCTACAAACCATTATATAGTACTGTAATATGATAAAGCAAGCAGACAATTATCCTAGCCACATTTTATTGTATGCAACATGATCTTTAACACTACCTCAAGCTTCTCGTTACTGTCTTGAGCTCAACTTTAAAAACGTGCTCCTCATATTCTCAGAGCAATCTCCCAACCCCCCTTACGGACAGATTAAAATCGTTTAACTCTGTGTCTTCCCCAATACCTGAACTTGCGAGGAACTGTAACCTTTAATGTAAAAGGTCAGAGCAAACGTACTGCATGAGGACAAGAATGAAGGGAAATATTAAAGGGAACAGTATGGGACCCATTGCAAGTTAGGAAGAGAAGGGACAGAAAGAAGAGGATGCAGACAAGACCAAGAGAGAGGGAGGGGGTATGGAGAAGGAAGGAAGATGGGAGAAAGGGGGAGAGAGAGAGAGAGAGAGAGAGAGAGAGAGAGAGAGAGAAGAGAGAGAGAGAGAGAGAGAGAGAGAGAGAGAGAGAGAGAGAGAGAGAGAGAGAGAGAGAGAGAGAGAGAGGGGGGAGGGGGGAGAGAGAGTGAGAGAGAGAGAGAGAGAGAGAGAGAGAGAGAGAGAGAGAGGAGAGAGAGAGAGAGAGAGAGAGAGAGAGAGAGAGAGAGAGAGAGAGAGAGAGAGGGAGGGAGGGAGGGAGGGAGGGAGGGAGGGAGGGAGGGAGGGAGAGAGAGAGAGAGAGAGAAGAATAAGAAGAGGAGGAGAGAGAGAGAGAGAGAGAGAGAGAGAGAGAGAGAGAGAGAGAGAAGAGAGAGAGAGAGAGAGAGAGAAGAAGAGAGAGAGAGAGAGACGAGAGGGAGGGAGGGAGGAGGGGAGGGAGGGAAGAGAGAGAGAGAGAGAGAGAGAATAAGAGAGAGAGAGAGAGGAGAAGAGAGAAGAGAGAGAAGAGAGAGAGAGAGAGAGTTGGCAATCTACCTGTTGAAAAAAGCTATCACCTCATTTTTTTAAACCTGGTTATTTGATCTGATTAACATTTAAATTGCATTACTGCTACAGAACTTTTGGGCGCTCGACCATCACCGTGTGTTATGATACAGGGATAGCACACTCACATAAGCTTTATACATACATACATACATATATACATGTATACATAATACAACACACACACACACACCACACACACACACACACAACACACACACACACACACACACACACACACACATATATATATATATGTATATATATATATATATATATATAGTATATTTATATATATATATAATATATATATATGTGTGTGTGTGTGTGTGTGTGTGTGTGTGGTGGTGTTTGTTTATATATGTATATGCATTTTAAAAGGGGAATGTGAATAACATTCTTAAAAGAGCAAGCGCACATGTACAAATACACACATGCACAAACACACATACAAAGATACACACACACGCTCACACGCACTGACACAAGAATATTACCATATACTGTAAATCATTTCATATAACCGAAAATAGAGTAAAAAAGAGACAAAAAATCCACTTTCTCTCTTAAATCTTAGTCACAAGAAAGTAAAAAAACAACAACAAACCATCCCTTCCTCGTTGGTATTATGACTCGAAAAAAGTCGACAGATTTATAACCCTTTACCCAGATGGATCTCATACTGCGGTTGACTAATGGAGCAGTAGATNTGTTTGTTTGTTTGTTTGTAAGAGGGAGAGAGAGAGTGTACATTTTAATCTTCTTTAACTCTTGTTAGCAATATCTAATGGAATTCACTCATACAAACCACTAAAGCAATTTTGATCACTGTCACTCAAATGGTACATCCCCTATTAATAACTCTTCCAGTGCGCCAGTATCATGAGTACCTAAAACCAATAAATCTATTTCTTATTATTTACTCAGACACAAACATTTATATATTCCTATTGTTTTCATTACTTTCTTACATTCATATTCCCTCTAGAATGTATGTATAAAATAAAAAGAAACTGCCAGCACCACACAGCAAATTCTGATATTCTATTTACAAATTAACATTTAAAAATAAGAAAAAAAGAGTAAAGAAATATATGATGAAGAATAACTACAGAGGATCCTCATCATTATTTGTTAATAGGGCCTAAAAAATGGGACAAAAAAGAAACAAAATATATTGATACTACATTACAAACATGTAGCATGGTTGACTAGAGGCATGTATCCGAATAGGCTATATACAAAAGCAAACTTCAGGAGAGTAAACACAATTATAAAACTCCCCACTGAAGACAACAAAGCATCAAGCTGTGATAAATAGATCTTTATGGATGTGGATGAGAGGATCATCATTGTATTCATCCACTTCCTCCAACTTGATAGTGACTTCCAAAAGTAGAATTAATAGTGCTGAAAGTGGATTGGCGGGAATCATTCATTTTCTATAGAATGCCCTTTAAATCATCCATTTTCTATAGAATGCCCTTTAAATAATGGACTGAGTAGTTGTTCTTCCTCCTTAGTCTCATGAGGCTAAGAAAAAATTTACAATTCTCAATTTATTCTATAAAAGACATCATGTAGAAAATGAAGTGACTGTTTCCCTCCATTCATCTCTGGCACACACAATTCTTACTTCACTTGGCACTGACTTAAGTCTGAATTGGAAGAAATGTATGGCAATAAAGTTGACGATTCCCTCCCATTCCCTTCAGCATAAGCCTAACCACATGCACCTGTCACTATGTTGTTGACAATTGGGAGTATGAGCATGGCTATTTACTTTCCAGGAGTTTATTCTTGCTATGTATTATTGGTCTCAAATAGTACTACAGATTCTACTGAGCACCAAATGTTCTTGCTGCTTGCCACAAAATTCTGGCCAAGAATCAAATAGTAATTAAAAGGGTAATGAATTACAGGGAACCCCCTGTATATGATCAGTTAGAGCTTGGTCAGTTTACAACTCTGAAGTTTCCTTTATCATGATATTACACATAGTAAGAAGTACAGGAGAATATCAAAATATATATTGTAGTCCAAGTTCAGATAAATGTTAAGTATTTGTCACAAGTTTCAATCAGTTACAATGTAGTTTCTGTATTGGAGGCTGTTGTCATGCTGGAAGCAACAACATCTGTGGAGGAGTCTCTGCGTATGGTGTTTTCCCTTGGAACTCGGGGGTGAGGAGGAGATCTGTGAATTGGAGGTGTGAAAACATCCTGGTGTGGTGATCGAGCATTGAACGGGACTTTGTAGGTGACAGGAGAGGAAGGTGTGTAGCAGGGATTTGGTTTGCTGCCTGAACTACAGTGGTTACTCAGGATTGGAGAGGGAGTATGGCCCATATACTGAGAGGATGTTCTTTTCGACATGTATACAAAACTGCCTGAATTGTTGGCTTGTGTCATTGGACCTGAAGACTGTGTTGTTGAACTGGATACATTTGTTGTTGTATTTAAACTAGAACTATGATAAGGTGATATAGCTGCCTCAAAATCTTTCAATCCTTGCTGTTTTAACAAATGTGGGGTATTATTCCCGTTATCATTTTGCTTTGAGGCTTTATGAATGTCACTACTCTGCACAGTCATTGGTTTCCCATGCTGTGATCTCGAAGGAACCAAAGAGAGTCGACCTGGGGAGTCTTGAGGAGAGACATTGCTTGTCTCACTTTCATAACTCAAGGAAGCACTGATTAGGGATGATGGGGTGGAGGGAGTCCCTGAGTCATGGCCTTCTGCAGCCCAGTCCCAAGCACTTCTTGAGTGTGTCCTGAAGGTCGGGCTTTTCAATACACTGTCTGGAGAAGAGGGATGAACACTTCTTGGTGAGTTCTCTTCTTCAGATGGAGAGTTGACTTGGTTGACTGGCTGACTTCTGGATCTTGAGTGTTGCATCAGGCTCATTGCCTTGCTTTTCCCTACTGTGTGTTCAAGTGTTGATAACTTTTCTTGAGACACATTTTTGGATGACTGACAGTATATACAGGTTGACTGTACCTTCCCTGTTTCCCCTATATATGAAGGAAACATCTGAGTCCCTACATCCACCACACTGACCTTGAACCCAGTAAGCCTGTTCTTTTTATGGTCCTCCCTATCACTACCCTCCTCTAGCAAGATGTTGCCATTTCCATTACCATTGATTTCCTGTAAGTCCTCCAAGTGAGTGTTATCACCTAGGATGCTCTCACCCGTGTCAGTTTTGAGCGAGCCGCAGGTGCAGGATGAGCAGTGGCGCCTGGCCCTTTCACGCTGCCGCTCTTCTAACACAGCAGCCATAATGGCAGCTGAAACAGAGTCCACCTCTTGCTCTTTCTCATTCTCCTCTGGAACAGTTAGTATTACCTTTAGTGATCTTTATTAATGAAGGTAAATTAAGACTTACATTCTGAATACACAAGAAACTCTTCACTCAAAACAAAAAGAAAAAATTTTGACACTGCATGAGAAGCACTATGAAAGCACATATAAAATAACAGAAATCAAAGCCACTAAAATTCTAAATATTTCTAAAAGAATATAAATCAACATACAAAAACACAAAAAATGGCAGGTATACATATTAACACATCCAAAATGCCACAAAAATTTACCCTTAATCCACAATTATTTTATGACGTACTTTTTTTTTTTTTAATGCTTCATATTACAAAGAAAAAATTACCTGCATATTTATTAACTGAGTAGACCATTGCTGTTGGGGGGAAGGTAGGAATAGGAACTTTAATGACCTTCATTTCTGGCTTGGGGGCATCTCTGGGCTCCTTGGCCAGGCGAGACTTTGCCTTCTTTTGCAGGTCTGATGGAAGCTATAAAAAAAAGAGAGAAAAAAAGATTTTTTCCTAATGGGCTTTATGTGAACATAACAAATGAGAAATCAACAAATGCAAGTCAATTCCATTCATGATAAGACCCCTTTTTCAAATAGTTGTGAATCAATAAAGTTAAAATTATTCACTTCATTCCTAAATATACCTGGCAAATCCTGGGTAAATATCCAATAACATCTTTTACCTTAAGTAACTACATTTAATTCACAATCTATATCTATGTCATTTAACTATCTATATTAACCCCTATGCTCCAGATGATGTTACGGTTCCGTCATGGAAAAATCTGGATCGAGGGCTGGGTGACGTGAACATCCCGTCATTGGGTAAAATGGCCGCGGGCCACATGACATTAACTTGCCGTTATGAGTGCACGAAACCTCTTGAAGTATGACTTGACTCATTTAGCACTTACAATGGGGCTTTAGCATTATTCCCATCGATAAACGAATGTGGAATGTAAAATGCATAAGCCGTGACTGGAAGAAGGCCGGCTCCAGGGAGGACGCTATTTCCTCCCTGCACAGGTTATATTTGGAAAAATTGATAATTACAAAAAAATATGATACATGACACAAATAGCCAAATGTTCCAGATTTCTTTATTCTTGCACTAAGTTATTTTCTACATCGAGAGTCCATGCTGTAAGCTATTTCCATCTGGATAAAGCAAATCAAAAGATTCTTGTCACGGCTTATGGGTGCTCGCAAGTGCCCGGCCTACGCGCCATACACCCAGGATGTTGGCTACTTACATAACCCAAGTTTATATTTTGGCACCATGATTTCCATGACGCAACCGGATCCAATGGGTTAGAAGTATGATTTTCATTCATATAGCTCAACATAAAGATCAAACTTTCTTTGCTATTCATAAAACTCTTATGACTCTTTTTAAAGTATTGTATCTAAAAAATACAAATACTATGAATTAAAAGATACAATTGTTTACTGAAAACAGCAAATTTCTTTTCAAGATTTACCATAAATATATTTAGGCAACATTTCAAAAATGATCAATTCAATGAATACTACATAACCACAGCAAACATGTACTAACAGAATCCAGCTTGTGAGCTGCATATTTGGATGGATTACACTGTAGAAGTTGAATGGCTAAATTCAAGTCATTCTTGTATCTATCCTGTAAAGGGACAAAAGATACACCATAAGTAATTATTTTTCTCATTGTTCTTTGTTTTTCACCAGATTGTTTTGTCTTTAGATCAAATATCAATGTTTTAAAATCTAAAAAATAGTGTTGTAGAATATTCACTTACATTTTCTTGTTTTAATCTATTGATTGCTTGAGCAGCTGTTGTTAGAGCAGTGGTGAGGCTAGCTGTGTCCGCAGCCAAACTAGACTTCTCACTCTCTGTGCGGTCAACTAGACGCAATAGTTTGTCCTCTAGGCCCTGATTAACCTTTTGTAGTCTCTTGTGGGCTTCAAGAAGTCTGCAAATAGCCAATGGCAATTCTACATATATGAATCACTTAAGAAAATCAAATCATTCATCAAAATAAAAAGAATGACTGAAAGTGAAAATTATAAGAATAGGTATGAGATTGCAACCTTGGGTGCTCTTAACCCTTTAACCCTTCATCCTCATGGAAACCTACTCTAACAAATTTCCTATTCCCATAATAGTATACATACGATCAAATCTTTCCATGACATACTCTGTGCTTGCTGTAACAGTATTTTGACTGGACAATGTTATTTTAAATTGTCTCACTTCTTTTATCTATGGTTTCATTCACAATTGAAAACTTATCCAGTATAACAACTAAAGCATAGTACTTGGGCCTACTTTGGAAGGATTCAAGCTGAAAACAGGGAAACACACAAGCATATTTGTAAATTTTCCTGTTGTCTCCTCCATTGTCTAATTCGAATAGGTGTGTGAATGTACTGAAACTCAAATTTGAATATTTTCTCGGCACAAGATGACCAGATGGTGACTCATCCATCAAGTTATACCAGGGAAAGAAAAGAAAAAAAATTAAATGGTATTTCTCAAATTCATATACAGTATTTGTAATGTGTTACACCACTCTTTTCTTTCTCAAAAAACTACCTTTCCTGATATTTGACAGAATAGGAAAAT